GTTGACATGCAGTCTTTGTACCCATTATTTCACATCATCACACAATGGGGAAGTCCCCCCTTCCCACTCCCCGACCACAAGTTTTATTTCCCACATCATGTAAATTCGTGTTCTGACACAATAGACACAAACTCAAACACACGCACATTTAGGGGACTTAACAACATAAGCAACAAAACAGAATAGAGCAGTTTTCTCGTCCAGTAATTTTAACATCTGATTTTGACCGCATTGGTCGAAACATGTAGTAATAAACTTCTCTTTTCCACGTCATCCAGACCGGTTCTGGGGTCCACCCAACCTCCCATCCAATGGATACCGGAGGATCTTTTCAGGGGGGATACAGCGGCCGGGGCGTGAAGCTGACCATTTACCTCTAGCTAGGGCCGAGGTAAAAAAAAATTGGATCTATACATCCACTTCCCATACGCCTTCACGGCGTAGTGCTTAACTAGTTAAGCACGGGGAGAGCTTTACGTTACCAGGAACAGCCTAAATCTCAGTAGACAATATATACTGGTCGGGGTACGGAGCGACTACTTCCAGAAGAGAAGTTCTGAGAGTTACAGCTACACTAACCTGCTAGGTGCCAACTGCTATTCTCTAACACTCTACTTTACTTCCTGCATGCTGAATATATTGGTACTGTGTATGGTTATCCCAAAGTGCAGCGTGTTTATAGACACGTTGTATGGAACCTCTACCTATTATACTGAAGAAGGTCGTTGTCTAAAGTGGAACGGATTCAATATGTATCGAAGTTGATATATTGAGCTGGGGCTTCACGCTGTATGCTGCTATTGATGGAGCACTCCATCATCCATCGCGTCTCTTGCAAGGAGTCAACCCCAATACTATAGTCAGTGAAGAATGCGCGACGTAAGTAAGAGGACGTGTCAAATAGGGCGTTAGTTAAAAAGTTTTCCCACAGTCGCTTGTTGAAATATTTTTATAGGAACTTATCTGTTCTTTCTTACACGCATTCTCATACAGAATTTTGCTTCCAGACGGATAATGTTATAATGATGATACGAAGTTAGACTAAAGTTACTTCTTGCCAGCCGACTTTATATTTAACAATTTGTTCTCTGAGTTACATGTTTAAAGTAGCTGAACATTTACACGTATATATAACACATAAACCCTGAAAATGGAAACAGTACGCTCTTCAGAAACATCTGTAAACTTTTATCAGAAGATATGGCATCGAATTCCAGAAGATATCAGAGTAAAATTACCGTTTATTGTGGTCTACTGGTCAGAGTTCCTAGATCCAGAGGTCCCGGGTTCGATTCCAGCCGCTACCAGATTTTCTGAGAAGTAGTGGGTCTGGAACGGGGTCCACTAAGCCTCGTGAGGTTAACTGAGAAGCTATTTCAAGGAAATAAAGGTTCCGGTCTAGAAAACCAAAATTAACGGCCGTGGGATCCGTTGAGCTGACCACGTGACACTCTCTATTCGCTAAAGTTGGCACTAACTTCTCCGACAAGTGGCGGTCGCTCGGTCGGTATAGTTCGCTTGCGGACTGCAAGCCAAGGATCTTTTTAATAACTTACTGTACTACATGATAGCAAGGTTTCTCTGGCTTCAATCTTTTCTTAATTTCTTCCTTCATTTAATTTTTATTTCATATTGTCATTCAAAAACAATGTCATATTTTCGAAGTATTTATTATCTAATAGACTCTAAAGGGCTCTGACGATGATGTATAATAGAATTACTTGACTTTTTGGACTTTAATCATTGTTCGGTATTCTAAAAACTAAAGGAGGATGGACAAAGAACAAAACCCTAGAAATTCTGATTTATTATCTATATTTGTATTAAAAATTTATCTTCTATTCTGGCGACAAAGAATTTCCTTTCCGTTTGTTTCTAGATCAACAATTAACTTGCATCCAGGGAAGTTTTCATAAATGTATTTCCCGTATTCATGTTTTTGGAGAACAGATTAACTAAGTAAGCATGGACCGGAAGGTAATGTGCTCTGATCATCTTCAGTCGCTCCTGATTTTCTTGGACCTTCCTAATACAGTATTATAATTAACACAATAATTAGTTTGGTGACATTTCTTATACAGCTCTAAATTTCCATGGCTGATTCTTCTGAACAGGGGATCGAATGATATTTTCGGCACACCAAGTGACGTTCCACGTTGTATGAAAAATTATAATTTCTTCTGCAGCATTTTATGGGTTTGAAAATTAGTGTCTGATATAAAATGAAGAAGAAAGACTGGAAGTATGTGAGAACAGGGTGCTGAGGAGAATATTTTGGGTCGAAGAGGGATGTAATGGCAGAATATTGAAGAAAATTGCATAATGAGGAGATTCATAACTTGTATTCCTGGCCAAATATAATTGAAATGATCAAGTCAAGGAGGATGAAGTGAGCAGGTTATGCAGTACGCACTGGAAAGTATATCGGGGTTTTGGTGGAAAAGACAGAAAGAAAGAGACCATTAGGAAGATCTAGACACATGTGGGAGGATAATACTAAAACGTATCTCAGAGAGATATGATGGAGTGGCAAGGAATGGATTATTCTGGGTAAGGATGGGACCGGTAGAGGGCCCTTGTCAACACGATAATGAACTGTCGGGTTCCGTAAAATGTTGGGAAAATTGTGGGTAGCTGAGCAACTGCAGGTTCGCAAGAAGCACTCAGCTCAATGGAGTTAGTTAAGTTCTACTTCCGAGAAGAATCCCCAAGTGTCAAATCTGAAATAAAGAGCAGCGGAATCCACTTGATTACAACTTTTTCCACTAAGTTAAAGACCAGGAAATAAAATCAAATTTCTGAACGAGCGCAAGCATCTTGCTTTTCAAGTAGCTTCCTCTATCTCTCCTCCTCACCCTCCGTAGTTTCGATTCTCGCCATCATCATAAGAGGCACTGAATAATTCACAAGGGGAGCTTCACAGCAACTTCATTATTTTTTCTCACTCCCTTACTCCATCCACACTTCCTCATAATATTCATCATCACCTGCTTTATTGCGCTTCTGCGCATTTTTCTTCCATTCCTTAATACATTTTAATGAAATTCACGATAGCGTTGTAACATATTGTCACGTGTCTGGGGTTCCGTGACAAATAACTGTGGATTCTGGATTTGATCGTTATGTTTATTGGACGTTACTAACATAATTACACTCAGTTACAATAATTGACACATTCAACTACAAGTCACACACTTTCTGTTATCTCTCGTGCCTCTCTTCTGAACTCTTCGCTGCAATTCTGACTATGGAACTCTCCTCTCACTTCTGTGTTCCTCCAACTTCTGTGTTCCTCTCACGTCTATGTTCCTCTTACTTCTGTGTTCCTCTCGCTTTCTCGCTTCTGTGTTCCACCAAATTATGTGTTCCTCCAACTTCTGTGTTCCTCCAACTTCTGTGTTCCTCCCACTTCTACACGTATGTTCCTCCCACTTGTACACGCATGTTCCTCTCACTTCTGTGTTCCTCTCGCTTATGTGTTCCTCTCACTTCTGTGTTCCTCTCACTTCTGTGTTCCTCCCACTTCTATGTTCCTCTTACTTCTGTGTTCCTCCAAACTTCTGTGTTCCTCTCGCTTCTGTGTTCCACCAACTTCTGTGTTCCTCCAACTTCTGTGTTCCTCCGGCTTCTGTGTTCCTCCAACTTCTGTATTCCTCCCACTTCTACACGTATGTTCCTCTCACTTCTGTGTTCCTCTCGCTTATGTGTTCCTCTCACTTCTGTGTTCCTCCCACTTCTATCAATTGCATTATTTTATACGATTCTTTATCTCCTGAAGAGTCATTATTTAAAATACATTTTCCCTTTGATTTATTTGTCTGTTATTACTCCTCTAACTTAGTCTCTACTGTTTTGCAGAAACTCTGATTAATAATATGACTATTTTAGAAATACAGAGGATTTATTATTAAGATGTTTAATGGCGTCTAATATGAAGAATTCTGACACTGAAAATGCAGTGCTAACAAGATATTACTTGAATAATGTAGAGATAAAAAGTAACACAATTATATCATTTTCTGTGACTTTGTACAGGAATAAAATTTGCTTGTGGGGAGAACACAGACTGAGGCGTGTTTCAGATGTGGATGCTAAAGAGAATATTAGGAAGTAAAAGGAGAATGGAGAAAACAGCATAATGAGAAGCTTCATAATGTTCATCAAATTAAAATGAAGAAGATGTGTAGCACGCATGGGCGAGATGAGAAATGCATATAAGGTAGAAACTCTGAAGGTAAGGGATCACATAAAAAATCTAGGTTAAAGTTGAAGGAAAATTTTGAAGTGAATCTTGAAGAAAAATCTATGACGTTATGAACTAGATACATATTATTCATAAAAGGAACCAGCAGAAAACTGCTGCAGACATAGTATTGAATTGTCTTATTCCACTTGAGGAATAGGCAAGACATATACTGACTTGCTGCACAACGATTGGCTCCTTAAAGAAGACTGAATTCCGTGCAGTTAATGTTAGCACAAAATTACGTGAATCAATAAGCTTTACTGGGCTTTGAAAACAGCATATTCTTCTAGCAACAGAATGTCATCCTTCTTTTAAAAGAAGTGGGTGAAATTCTAAGATTGATATTAACCTTCCACTTTGGAACACAGGACTGATTTTTTTTGAGTTTCATGATCATTTTACAGATGGTAGGACTCCTTGGACGGGTGATCAGCTCGTAGTAAGTTCTCTTACTAAACCCAGGACAACATATACACAGAATAAACGTATACACACACCAAACATCCATGCCTTGTGTGGGATTCGAACACACGATCCCTACTTCCGAGCGAGCGAAGACAATACATGCCTTAGGCCGCTCGGCTGCCGTGACCGGCTCAGTCTTCTTATGTTATTTCCTCATCGCGAATTTAGATACGAAATGGATCTAAAGAAACAATGCATTAGCCTGTCTGCTTTCATCAGATACGGGCGGATGTATCTTCGTTAATGCAGCTCGTCAAAAAGTAATAACAGATTCACTGAGAGTACTCACCGTCTTGTTACCAAGGTTCTTGACTCGGCAATTGAGGTAGGCTGTCTTCCCTAGCAAAGCGGTCACATTCTTAGAAGCAACTTTGTCGAAATACGGACCAGACCGCGAGCCGGGGAACTCAAGCGCATTTCCCGTGGACTCCTTCTGGGCCGCGCGCGCTGCAACAGACACCATGGACCATTCTCAAAGAAACGCAAAATGAAATATACATCAAAAATTCAATTTTCGTTATTTCATATTTATGCAGTTCTTTACACAACACATGAAATATGTTACACGGTCATTAAGGAGGTTTTTACCACATTTCTTGAGTAAAGATAAAAATGTAAAGTTGTCCCTGTGCTTAACTAATTAAGCATTACGTCATGAAGGCATATGAGGAGTGGATGTATAGAACCAGTTTCTTGATCTCGGCACTAGCTGGAGGTGAGTGGTTAGCTTCACGCTCCGGCCACTTTACTCCAGGTACCCATTGGATAGGAGGCTGGGTGGGCCCCAAAGCCGTTCTGCACAAAGTGCACAATAGAACATTTTTTTAGCTTATCGGAGCTCGAAATCTGACCCTCGGTCGTCCAGCCCGTAGCCAGTCGCTATACCGACTGAGCTAACCCGGCCCCTCCACACTTCTTGAGTATATTAATCAAATGAGTTTAGAAACATAAAAATCTTATTAAGGCGAGTACATCACCGGAAAGGATGGTTTAGGGGCAGTGCTCTAGACATGTATTCTGTAAGTGCTCGATTCGAATCTCGGGCGAGACATCGACAGTCCTGGGGCTCTTTGGTGTTTTTCTTCTTCTCTCCAAAGATATTCTAGAATTCGGGTACAAGCAGCCTCCCTTCCAAATGTTTTACAATTCCTCAGGCGTTCCATTATTCCACGCTACCTGGTCCCGAAACTTAAAGCGGCGTCCAGTAGCCTTCAGAAAGAACAGAAGGAATTTGGATAGTTCAAGGAGAAATAGCAATTTGAATGTAAGGGAGAAGCACGCAAGAAATATGGGTTTGGAAAGAGAAACTTTGTTATAACTTCGATATAAAAATAAAATAGGCTTTATTAGTAATAAACTATGTTACGAAAACTTCTCAAGACGTCTGCCCTGTGAATCTGTTTATCAGAATGGTAATGCATTCTAATTAGAATATATAGTATTATGTATGTGTGTAATTGTCGACAACAGCGGCTGCGCGGTCGAAGGCATGAACCGTCTTCGCCCACTTGAACACTGGGATCGTGGGTTCGAATCCTACTGGATGTGTATGTGCGTTTATTCTCTGTTTGTGTTGTTCTGCGTATAGGTAGCGGCCTTGTGGAGGGCTAAGCCCCCGTCCAAGTAGTCCTACCCTTTGTGTATAGAGTAAGAAACTGAAAAAGCTACCAAGGTCCACAATGGCTTTAGAACCTGATATAGATAGATAGATAGATAGATAGATAGATAGATAGATAGATAGATAGATAGACAGATAGATAGATAGATAGACAGACAGATATATAGATTTTTTAAAATTTTTATTTATTTATTTAACAATATATAGTTAACAATGACAATAATTCTTACAGCACAACATGAAAATGGAGGTGATTAACATAAAATAACATACATTTAATTGTTTATTGAATTTTACGTGCCGTTGATGTATACAGTAGTA